TCAACAACAAAAAATAGATAGGGATTAATGTAACTAATGTCAAGCCTTGCATTTAGTATTAAAAACTACTTAAAAGAAGAGACCTGGATTAATAGCTGTTATAAGAAAGTCATGGGGATTTTGACTACCAACTTAGCAGTGTACAAAGGCCTCTGAGACACTCGATCCTATCTAAAACTATCCTTTTTTTCCAGTACTGGGGATTGAACCCAAGGCCTTCACATCAACCTACATCCCCAATCCTTTTTTTTATTTTTTACTCTTGAGACAGGATCTCAATAAGTCGCTAAGTTCTCCAGGGTAGGCTCAAACTTGTTATCCTCTTGGCTCAGCTTCCCAGAGTGCTGAGATTACAGGCCTGTGCCACCACACCTGGCTCAAGGCCACCTTTTTTTAAAGTGTCTAAATCAAAGAGAAAGTTTCACTCTATACCTAGCTAGTCAAACCAGGTCTATAGAGGACTGTGTTTGGTTATCAAGGCCACATTGGAAAAAGAAAGGAACTAAGAACATTCATAAAGAGAATACAGTGAGAGCTAGATACGAACAGTGAATAAATACAAAAGAAAGTAAAAAGTGTTTTGTGGTAAGCAGGTCAAGGCTGCAGGTATTACAAGGGTAGGAAGTGAATGCCAGGCCTGGGGAAACGAATCCTGGAGAGGATAAGATCCGAAGCTAGCCCTCTGCTCCAATTAACTTCAGCAGGCTTCCTGGAAGATGTGAGCCTTCAGAAATATATAGGTTCTGGCAACCAAACATTTGGTTAGGGGAATCTTTCTCCTGGGCTGCCAGGAAAAAAAAAAAGCCAAAATAGTTTAAGTAGTCATTTCCTCCTGTTAATCCTGTTCTCCCATTCTGTTCCTTCATGATCTCTCATCACTGCTCCTCTGTGCTGATCTGAGACAGAGGAACCAAGACCCAAAATAGGGAAATGAGAGGAAGGGGCATTTGGGGACTGTGATAGATGTGGAATCTGGGAGAGTCCTCAAGTCCCCAAGTTGCTGCTAGGTAAACAGCCAAGCTCCCTGCTGCCTCCGGCTGAGCTGTAACTTTGGGTGAAGTTACTTCTGCTTTAGACTCACTTAACCTTTAATCTGGGGATTCCCAATCATGTTACTGACATTAATTCCTCTATCCCACAACAACTGTAGGTTGATGGGAAAAATAAACCAAAACACAGGATCTTCCCAGCTATGGAGTCCCATGTGGGAACATGCAAATAATATTTACTCGTTGTTTATTCTTTCATAATTTACCTTCACTTTACTGGACGGGAAACCAAGTCATAAAGGGTGTAAATAAGGCAATTTCATATATACTTTTCAGTCTTTGAATTCATCAAAATCAATAATGTTTTAAAATATCTTTCTTCCTAGAAATCCTCATAAATAAATTCAGAACTTGAGATGTGGCCATTTTACACATGGAGAAAGTAAGATGTGGAGTGATTAAAATGCATCACCTCAAGCTGAGCCTCATAAAGTAGTGCCTCACCAAGAAAACCAACAGCCCTAATTTTCAGGACAAAAATGTTCTCATTAGAGTCCTATCCAACTTTGAAACATTGAATCCACTTAAAGTCTGAAATAATGTGGCATCCGCTGTCAAGTTGGAGTTCTTGATACCAAGAACAATGACGAGTCTGGGATGGTAGCATGAGTAATCATGATCCTTGACCTTTGCCTAGGGTTTTATGGTTTACAAGAGCTCCACAGCCACAATTACTGTCTTAAACAAGGACATCAGTTGTGTCCCTTTTAGATACGAGGACAGGGGAACTCGGGGAAGTTTACTGGCTTGTCAGAGAACAGAGTTAGCAATGGGCAAAACCGGGCCTGAAAGTCAGGTTTTCTAAATCCACGTTCAGAGAGAACACACTTTTCAGGAAAGAGACTACCTGCCTTTTCCTGAGCAACTTGAAGAAGGCTGAGACAGGGGAGAATTCACTGTTGTCAGCGCCTTGGCAGATGATAGCAGAGAAGGAAACTCATCACTGGGCACTTCAGATGGTGACACAGAACTGCTCTGGGCACCGTAGGGCCTGTGGCTCTAACCTCTGACAGCCTGCTGTGTAAGACAAACACACCAGAAGAACAAATATGTACATAACATACAAATGATGGAATAAGAACAGTCAATTCCTACAAGAACAGACAGGAAAGCATGTATATCACACCCGTGGCCAGGTAGATTTAGGGTGTGGAGAACATAAGTGCATAAATGAAAAGGGGAGCAATAAAGAGCACAAGTCAGGGAAGAGACACACACCCTGATCCAGGAAGTGTATTTGGAGGAGGAGGGGATCCAGAGTTGCTTCTCTTTTCTTTTCTTTCTTTTTTTAATTTAAGAAAAAGTGAAGTGGCTGTACTGAGGTGAGAGTAGAGTTGAGACTATGAGATTTGGAAAAGAAACTTATCCTAGATCAGAGATGGCTCGGGCTGGGGATTTAGCTCAGTGGCACCGTGCCTGCCTTGAAAGCACAAGGTCCTGAGTTCGATCCCCAGTACCGCAAAAAAACCCAAAACAACAACAAAAAAACAGAGGTGGCAAACCTTCTACAGCTTTCAATACATACAGCCAGCTTCAGCACACATGTCATAGGCTCACCACCACTGTCCTAGACACATGGAACAACTATAAAGATGGGTGGGAAGGGACAAGAGGGCAGTGTTAATGGACAAAGAGGGCTTTGAGCAAGTGAAATTCAAGACTGATTACAGCCCGTCTTGACTCCTCGGCTGTGTCTGTGTCTCCACCCCCGTGTTTCAGAAGGCACATGCTCCCATTTCAAAGACACAAAGGATTTCCCAGCTATGAAAGTGTTTTCAGCACGTGGAGAAGGCAATAGCTCATGGTGACAGAGAAAGTAGACAGGGATTTCAGAAAAGCTGAACTCTCCAGATGTCTCCAGCCAGGCCAAGCTCCCCAGGTTCCACCACCATGGGAGAGGTTCCAGCACAAGCTCATTTCCCTAGAAGAGAGGGAAGTTCCAGCTTGCTTCGTCAAACCCAAATTTACCCGCTGAATTTCAGGCCAGTGATTAAATAGATTCTTAGTGTGAAAACTCTGTTGACTTCTGCTGGGATATAAACATTTCCCAATATATCAATTCAGACACCAGCCAAGTAGAGAGAGACCTGTTTATCGCTGTTAATTGTGTTTACTCTCGAGTCATCCTTTGTGGCCTTAATTAGAGTAGCAGCAGCCAAGAACCATGAGGAAACTGGGCAGAGGAAAAACAGGCAGAAAGTGTCCTTATATCCTGTTTCCTGGCCCTTTGAGGAACGCCGGGTCCTTGGAGTTGATAATGCTAGGTCTAACCATGACCATTTAAGTTGTAAGCCAAAAAATTAGCAATTTCAGACTTTCCCATGGAGCTGTTCATTTCATTCCTACCCATCCTGGTTCCTGATTTGACACAAGTACAAGGATTTGTATGGGTGGTATGAGGATTTGCGGAGTTTAGTGATAATGATTCTTATGATTATTTTGCTAACATTTATTCATCTGACACATTTACAATGTGGCATCTTTTTGGCTTTAAACTCTCTACATATATCAACACATTTAATACAACAAGACACCTACAGTGTCTATGATACAATGAGATACCCATAGATAACTGCAGGTGTCCACATAAGTAGATTGCATAGCTATTTTGCTTAGACAGATGAGGAACTAACACAGAAGTAACCAAGATAACAAAGCCATAATCAAAGAATGAGGACCTAAATATAGTCTCCATCATTTATCTAAACCCCAATTTTTTTTTTTTTTGGTACTGGGGATCAAACTCTGGACTTTGCGCTTGCAAGGCAGGTGGCGGAACCACTGAGCTAAATCCCCGGCCCTCTAAACCCCCAACTTTTTGATCCATTCAACCAAACATCTGACATTTATATTTAAGACATTGTTCTAGATACTGCAGAAGATACAAGATATGTACAGGGTTTCCACACTCAAAGGGCTCATGGACTATTTGCATGTATCAGTAATCCTCTCTATGGCACTTAAAGTTAGCTTATTCACCAACATGGTTAAGATTTTTCTAACTACACACGACCTTGTATCACCAATGCTATTCTTTGTTTTTTAAACACGTAAAGCAACTTCAGACCAGAAGAAAGCAACTTACTAGTCACTTTATCAACATCTAGAGAATGGCTAGCAGCGTGTCTGAGACTGGAACCCAACTTTTCCAACAACTAATGATATTTTTTTACGTGGCAGACAGGATGTAAGGTGCTACTAAGGCAGTGGTACAAACTTTTGATCACAACTGATGGTCAATTTTCCTTCAGTCTCATCTCTCATCTCGACCATCCCCCTGTTCTTTTTATTCCAACTTGTTACTGAGCCTCATTTTCTGGACTGAAAAGTACACCTGGACACCACTTGGATGGACTTACGGGGATACAGGTATGACTAAGATAAAGTTGAACTGCTGGAGGTCTTTTATTACTAAGCCTTAAAGATAGAAAAAAACCCCACCAAGTTTCAGTCAAGATATTTTAAGTACTCAAGAAGGAACAAAAGGTAGAGAGAATGGGATATGTGTTTGAACGACTTAGGGGAAAAAGACTTGCTAGACGCTTGGATCAGGACAAATTAAGACTAAACGCAGAGTGCGCTCAACAAGCAGGGAGGCGATGCTACCCCCGGGTTTGTACGGGAGGACCTGGCGGAGGCCACGTGCAGCACAGGAGCCCCGGGCCCCTTCGCTAAGTGTCAAAGGGCCCCGTCCCGGGGGTAGAGCGCCTTGTCCAGTCTGCGGGCCCCCTCTGGGAAAGCCCGGAGCCCTTCCCGGCGAGCCGTGGCCAGCTCTCCCCAGAGCCGAGCCTTCCCGGCGCTCCGCCAGGGCCCGGCGGGCAGCAGAGGGCCCATCACGCGCAGACGTCCCGCGGTCCACCCTGCCTCGTACCAGCCCCACGCTCCGAGGCCTGGCCCCTCCTCCTTGCGTGAGAACCCGCGAGCGAGCGTGCGTGACGTGCCCCAGCAGCGTGACGCACGCGCCGCACAGCGCGGGGGTGCGCTGCGGGCGGAGGCCCAGGGCGGAGTGCGGGAGGAAGTCAGTGTGTGCGTGTCTGCGGAGAAGAGAAAGGACAGAGCGGCGGCGGGGCGCGGCACGGCACGGCGAGGCCAGCAGCCCGCTGGGGGCGCCGCCTCCTCCCCGCCCTAGCTGGAGGATGGAAGTGACGACAGCGGCCGCGGAGGTCACTTCCTGCTGGGGTGGATGAGGAGGAGCTGGAGACGCCGCGGAGGAGACCCGACCGAACGCAGACCGAGCCGGGCAGCGGTGAGTCCCCGCGTCGCCCGGCCCCGGGGGCCGCCGCCACGACCACCCCGACGCGGATGGCGTCCCGAGGTCGCGCCGCCCGCGGGCCGGGCCTCAGCCGCTGCGGAGGGCGGGCGGCGCGTCTCCGCGGCAGGCAGGGACCTGGCTGCGTCTTGCGGTGGCCCCGCGGAGCCTGCGGCGGGCCCGGCGGGAGGCGAGGGCGGCGGAGCTGCGGGACTGCCGCAGGGCCCTCCGTGCCCGACTCTGCGCACCTCGCTCGGGGAAGAGTCGCGACCCAAGAAGGGGCAGGGGCGAGGCGTGCAGAGAGGCGGGGGCCTGTTTGGACCACGCGTCCTCGGCCTGAATTTATGGAAACCCCGCAGGGCTTTTGGAGCGGAGGCTCCGTGGGGCCCTGGAGTATCCAGAGAGAGCTTCCAGGTCAGGTCGTCGCTGCAGCAGGTAGAAGTGTATTCCTGTGGCGGGGGAAAGGGCTCGCGACCGGGCAGAGCAAGCCAGGAGTTCGAGTCCTGGACAGCTTCCTGGAGCTGTGGGGAAATGAGTGTTTTTCCTCTCTTATTGTCACAGAAATGACAGGAAGCTCCTGCCTCAGCCCTGGTGCCCAGTTGTTGTATGTCGTGTGTGTGTGTGTGTGTGTGTGTGTGTGTGTGTGTGTGTGTGTGTATCTGTATCTGTATCTGTTTTCGCCTTCCTTTGAGTTACTTATCGCCTCAACTTCTGGTAGTTTTGTAGACTGAAACTTACTGGTCTCCTGAATGTGTACAGTGAGAAAGAAAATTCAAAGACTTCAGGAATGATTAGGAATTTGTCCCCTCCCTACCCTGGGGCCACTGAGGTACCTACCTTCCCTCCAGCCTCTGGCTGATGTGGGTGCTGAGGGCCTGTCTTCTACCCCCAGGGAACAATGAAGGTAGATCTGCCCTCCTACCCCTATCACCCTCTGGCAGTTACACACACACACACACACACACACACACACACACACACACACCCCTTTCCTGAAGGACTGACACAAAGCTGCTTGCTTCTGGGAACAGGAAATTTACTGAGGAACCATAAATATGAATGGATGAATTCAGATCATAGCACTCGTTGGCCAGAAGGATCCGAGAGATTTCATACCTGACCCGTCATTGTGTTAAGGGATAACATGTAAAGTTTTCTTAAAAAAAAAAATAGTATGTGTCTTATGTAGAATGACTGTATGTATGTTGTGTTTACTTCTTGTATCCCACAGTATGGGGGAGGCATTTTCTGACTAGGAGGCGTTTTTCTTCTCCCAGCTCACGTAATTCAGTAAAATAAATCACATGTCTATTCTTCAGTGGGAATCAGATGGATTTTGTTCTCCCTTTAAACTGGTACATCTGGAGAAACTCAGGCTTGTGTATCTTGGCATCTGGGCCTGTCTAGTAAGAAAAAGCAAACTGTTTGACTTGTTTTGGCTGCCTTTTTGGACTTGTTTCACTGTACCCTTCCTTTTTTACGTTTGAGGGTTGGTCAGGAGGAAGAAAGCAAATATTAAGGACAGTCTTTGCACTTTGTGGTTTGAAGTCAGGTGAGAGACAATTAGGGCTTTTGAAGCTAATGGCCTGAGGACCTGCAATCATTTGATGACTTGGGAATTAGCAGTTTGGAAGTGACATGTTTGAGAGACAGAAGGCTATATAAGGAAGTAGAGGTAAGGAAAGGTTGTGCCAGAAAACCTTGCGAGGATAATAAATAAATAGCATCTTAAAGTAATTGTGTGGCTTGTATCTCTCAGCAGGAGGGCAAAAATGAAAGCAGGCTGTAGCATCGTGGAAAAGCCAGAAGGAGGTGGAGGTGAGCAGAAGTTAATCATCTCTGATATGCCTGGAATGTCCCTGTCGGGTTCCTGTTCTCTCCATTCTAGCTTTGTTCATAACTGACAGCCTCCTGACCAAGCAAATCTCGCTAAGACTGTTGTAAGGCTGTTTCCTATGGATATGTATTTAATTTTCTGGTCAACACACCTTTTCCTACATTTTAGGGACTCTTCCCTGTTAAGAGACATAATTCCAACCTGGAGAGTAAGGAGTTTTCAGCTGTATTTTCTTGAAACACTAGTTTATCTTACCTGTTTGTGCCATTTGGAACTTTCACACCCTCATAGAAAGCAGATGTGAGGGTTGGGAATGTGGGTTAGTGGTACAGCACTTGCCTGGCATGTGAGAAGCCCCAGGTTGAACACTCAGAATGACTGCCCAAAAAAGAGAGAGAGAAAGTATGAAATTTAGTGATGTATGAAAGGGTAGGCAATTAGGGAACCTGAGCATTGCTGCCCAGCTCTATCAGATTGCCACAAGGATAGTTCAACTCCCCAGTTGTGGTTAGCCCCAGCTGATTAAAAGGGCATCTGTGGCATGTTTGCAAAGCACTCTAGAGATTCTGAGCTGTGGAATGTGAAGTTGAGGCTGCTGGTATGTGTGCACCTAGCTCCTGACTACTTTGATCTTGCCCTTTTCACATTAAAGGGTATCAGTTTCCTGACTGGGCCTACAAAACAGAGTCCTCCCCAGGCTCCCGGCAGATCCAGCTGTGGCACTTCATCCTGGAGCTGCTGCAGAAGGAAGAGTTCCGCCATGTCATCGCCTGGCAGCAGGGAGAGTACGGGGAGTTTGTCATCAAGGATCCAGATGAGGTGGCCCGCCTCTGGGGCCGCAGGAAATGCAAACCACAGATGAATTATGACAAGCTCAGCCGGGCCCTCAGGTGAGGGAAAGGATTCCTGAACCTGTGGTGTTAACAGATTAGAAGGAAACTACATGTAGAGTTTGGTGAATGTCAGATTAACAGGATATTAGGTGATAAGAGACTACACTATCTAAATGAATCATATGTAGCTGCAGAGTGGCAGTTGAAGTTGAATTCTAGTAGCACAGGCACACAAGGAGAAAAAGCATATCTTTGGTTATATGTGGGAGGGAATTCCATTGTGGCTGGTACTGGGTCCTGACAGCTGACTGCTCTGTAGTAGGTGAGAGCGTATGGTGAAACAGGACTTGGAGCTCATTTATAATCTGAAGGATTCGTGTAGATTTTCTTATTGGGAGCTTATCAGAATTTCTCTTATTTGGGGTCCCCTGGGAGAACCTAGAAAAGAATGAAGCAAGCACAGAAGGAGGGCTTTCTGAATGGTATTGAGGAGCTACTCTGAACTGTATCTGTGAGCTTGGGTGTCAGTCCATGGCTTGCTTCAATATGTATAAAGAATGATCACCATGAGTTTCCTCAGGTTCTCTTTCCCTTTGTCAGTCTTTAAATTTTATAACCCTTAGTTCACAAGGACCAGTAGAGACTTTATGACCCATCTGCTTAGCAGAAGCCAGGGTAAAGGTTCTAGGTTCATCAAATTTCCCTGCCTTTCTTCATTCTTAGTGACCCTGAATGGAAAATCTGTGCAGTATTTTGCTGGCGCCTCCCACATCCCTTTGAGTCTTTGAAGTTGAAGCAGGCCAGTTTGGCTGCTGTTTCCCAGATCAGGGTATGCCATTGTCTCACTGGCCACTATAAAACAGTTCTGCATTCCTCTGTGCCTTGCACATCAGTTCTCCTGGGAGACTTGTCTGCCTCTACCTGGGCAAGACTGAAAGAAGCTAGGCAGTTTGTGACATAGAGTGGGGCAGGAAGGAAGTGGACTACAGAATTGAAATTGTAGAGAGAAGAAAAGTGGTTAGAGCTAGGGCAGGTGTTTAGGATCTTAAAGTGAAGATGTCTTTGTTGAACTCTAGCCAATGACTAAACCCTAGTAGAAAATTGAATGAGCGAAGTAAGCGCTCAGATCTCCCAGCTCTACCCTGGCAGCCAGGCTACAAAAAAAATAATAGTGATGTTTGCAAGTAATACTTAAAGCAAGAATTGTTATGCTTACTGATTATCTAAGTATACTGAAAGCTCGGTTGCTGGAAGATAAATTGACATGTGTTCCTGTCTTTACAGATACTATTACAATAAGAGGATCCTTCATAAAACAAAAGGGAAAAGATTTACTTATAAGTTTAACTTCAGCAAACTGGTGATGCCCAACTACCCGTTCATCAACATTCGATCAGGTGGTAAGTTGCAGACTCCTTCGGTTGAGAACGAAGTTTGAGTTTAAAAGTAATTTAAGGCCGGAGATTTAGCTCAGTGGTGCCGCCACCTCCCTCGCAAGCGCAAGGTTCCGAGTTCGATCCCCAGTACCAGGAAAAAAAAAAAAAAAAGTAATTTAAATGGGCTGAGGATATAGCTCAGTGGTAAAGTGCTTGCTTAGCATGATCAAGACCCTGGGTTCAATCCCTAGCACACAAAAAAAGAAGGGGGAAGGGGCTCGGGGGAAGAAAAGAATTTTAAAAACCAAAATCTAACAATTTGGGAGGCTGAAACAAGAGGATCACAAATTGGAACCCAGCCTGTGCATCTTAGGGAGACCGTGTCTCAAAAAGAGCTGGAGATGCAGCTCAGTTTGAAGGCCCTGGGTTCAGTCTGCAGTATCCCTTTAGAAGGTCTAAAACGTGGCCTGTTAAGAGGATTTAGAAACATGAAAGTAATATGATCCCTTGAATTGCCTCCATATTCTTCCTCAAGTCTTCCTATTCATCTCATAAAGAAAATTAGTAGGCTGTGGGATACCAAGATCTGTTTTGTTCATTTACCTGGTTCCCTTTTCTGCATATCATTGGCAATCTTCTGTTAAACTGTCCTCTTTGGGACTGATGTTCTGTAGTATCCTGTTGATTTGTTAAGCTCTTTGGGAGTCAGTTTTAACGCCTGCCCCAGTGGCTCTTCATAGACAAGAACCTGTTCCTACAATCACTTCCGATTTTCTATGAAACTACCACGCTCTCCCGTATCAAGCGAATATCGTGAAAACCACAGCATCCTTGATCGCAGAAGGGGAGGTGGTTCACATGTTTGTAGTGAAAAGCAGTGCCTTTGATCTGTGCCAGCAGCTCCTCAGACAGCAAGACTGGGGTTTCTTAGCCTTGTCTCCCTGTAAGTTGCACCAGGGCTTCCCCTCTGCACTCTGAGTTACAGCTTCCCTCACAGCCATTAGGCCTGCCTCTCTCTGGGAGCGGGAGGCAGTCCTTGAGAAGTTTTGTTATTCTGGGTGCGGTTGTTTTTTTTTTAAGATGCAGATTATTCCCCTGGTCAAGAAAATAGATTGCATTTAATTACTTTCTGAGCAGTTCCTCATTGCTTTGTCTTTGTGGCCTCCTGTGTTAAAACAAAGAAAGCTGATTGTGATTCTGTGGTAATATAACTTTTCAGAGAAAAGTTTGAAGAAGGAGAAATTAGAGTGGGGGTGTCGTTGAGTACAAAGCCAAGATCCATTGCAGATATGTAATTACTACACACAACAAGTTAGGGCAGTTTTAGCTTGACTCTGCTATCATTATAGTTCCATCTCTCCCTCTCTAGCCACTCCCTCCTGTCCCTGGGGCATGCTTTTAGAAAAAAAAAAGTCTTACTGGAATGCATCTCTCTAATTACAACCTGTTTTCTTTCCTTCTGCCGGAGGGAGCGGCATTAGGAAATCAGACCTGTTCTAGCCACTGGACTCCTGTTTCCTCTGTTTCCCACTCTGGCCCCTTCCCTGAGTACCTACCTACACGAATTGGACTTTAGGTGGACATTCTAGCAACTTTGAAGAATGTATTGGTGTTCACACCTCTCGACCCCACATCCAAAATGCTTCACTGGTCTTGTTCTTCTGTCTTTGATCCATGTTTTTCAAGTTTAAAAAACCCCAGCCACTTGGACAGCCTGAAATGGAGTGTCTGTCTGTCCCTAGGAATGGAGTCATTGTGGTATTCCAAGGAAGGAAGGAAGTCTAGACTCTCGCTCTGTCAAGATTCTCTTAAATCTGACCTAGCGGCCTGGCATACCTGTTCTGCACGAAAGCTATGGACCCAACACTGATCCTAAATAGCCTCCAGATCTTAATCAGAAAGTCTCAGGGAACGCAAAAGTGTGCATTTCTTTCAGGCATGCTATTTGGTTGCTTACATCCTAGATGCTGATAGTGCCAAAGAACTGAGGTCATTTGTTTATAGACAGCTTTTACTCACATAGGCCAGGTGTGGGAAGGTTAACTTTATGATGACCAAGGTATGTAACATTTACCAAACATCCGTCTGATTGTGGTATGTGCTTTTGCTTAGTGGTTTGGCAAGTTACCTCATTGGACCATTGTAGGCCAGTAAAATGTGTATCTTGATAATCACTGTATAAAGGTAAAATTAAGGATGAGTACTACAAAGACTAATCAGGCTAGATTGAATAGTAATCCGCTGAACAGTTTCTCAGGAAACAACTCTTGAGGGTTTGAACTGTTGAAATGTCTTATTTAATAGGTCATACATTCCAGGCCCCTCTTTCATTAATTCATTCATTACTTTGCTTGGTAGATAATGTGTTAAGCCCTACAGACAAAAAAGATGTTGGAGAGTTCTGTACCTCAAGGTACTTAGAGGTTAGAGGAGAGATAAGATACCCTATGCTAGGGTTAATACAATCTAAAGTGAAGTAAATGCTCAAAGAAGTAGAGCTGTGTGGATTTAGATCCTGTCTCCATTGTTTGTCGATATGGTGGAACTGTTTCTGTCTGTTTGTTTGGGGTTTTTTATTTTTTTAATTTTTTGGTACCGGGGATCGAACTCGGGACCTTGTACTTGCCAGGCAGGCGTGGTGCCACTGAGCTACATCCCCGGCCCTGGATGTTTATTTTTTGAAAGAAAGGAAATACATAGCCGATGGTACCATGTCTAAATAATACAAAAGTTGTAACATAACTAAATAATACAGTAAAAGAATAAATATTCTCTTTTCCCTTCCCCATAGTCATACTCACTGTTAACAATTTAGGATAAAATACTTAACATTTGGATAGTGCTAAAAGTACCTCTACATAGAGTATCTTATTTTTATCATTAAAAACGTTCTATAAAGTATGTTATTAAATATTTTAATATTTACTTACATTTGCATACAAAACATTGGAAAATACAGAGGATAAGTAGTAAAAAATGATTCTCTCTCAGTGGTAAGGGCTGGGCAGACTAGTTCAGGGATGGATTTGAGTCCTCTTGGTCTGTGCCTCCCTCCTTCCACCCGCGCCTCTACCGCTGTTTTTTATTTGGGAAAACTTCAAACCCACTGAGAAATTGAATTAAGGAGAGTGAACACCCCCATATCCTCTTATGTGGGTGTGTATGTCACTAATGGTTAACATTGTTACCACATTGCTTTATCTCTTTCTATTTATATGTACTTTTTAAATCTTTGAGATTAAGTTGCAGACATCATGGCACTGCACTCCTATGTACCTCAGCTTGTATCTCAGGAACAAGGACATTCTTTTCCATAACCGCAGTAACATTACATGCAGGAACTTGAACATTGCTCTCATACTATTATCTAGTATGTGATTTGTAGTTGATACATGCCTTTGTAAGTTTGGTTTTTGAGTTAAATTATCATCTAATAAAAATGTATTTTAACGAATACATCCATTTGCTGTGTTACAATACTATAAGGGCTTTATAATATAAACATCTATTCGTCACCACATTGGGTTTGTTACTACCTATTTTACAAATAAGGAAACTAAGGCACACAGAGATGACTGGTCCAGAGGCACACACCGAGGGCTAGGGTCGAATCTAAGCAAAAGCCCTTGTTATTTTCACTTTTGTCAGAGGATGGTTGAAAACTCATTTCTGACTTGCACTAGCTGCAGGATAGGAGGTACCAGCGCCAAGATTCACAGCCAGACTTCCCAGCCCTGCCACTCACCGTGGTTTCAAGGAGGAGGTCTCCTTCCAAAGCAACCTGTTGGGGAGCAGCACTTATTTTTTCAAGCAAAATCTTAGACTTGAAATCTCCATATAACATCTACAAGTGGGGTGACTCCAGTTAATCGGAGGGAGGGCCAGTGCCCTAGTCTCACCTTCCTTTGCTCCATGCAAATGCATTTGGGAGTGATGTGTGTCATCTCTCCGCACAGACTCACAGTACACCTCTGTATGTATCAAGACTCAGATACCTGCTGCTTTAAAAAAAGAATGAACTTGGGCCGGGGATTTAGCTCAGCGGTTCCACCGCCTGCCCTGCAAGTGCAAGGACCCAAGTTCAGTCCCTGGTACCAAAAAAAAGAAAGAATGAATTTCATTTAAGCAGTTTCCTAAATTGCTTAGGAGACCAGACTTTTACTTCCCTCCCACCTTAAGCTTATAATTTGTTCTGTCCTCCAGTGCATAAAAGAGATCTTCTGCTTTTGACTGGATTTAGTCTTAATAAAAAGCCAGGAGCCGAAAGAAGTAAAAAGGATAGAATTGTAGATGCTGTAGTACTCTGAGAAGTCTTTTGGCCAGGGACTCTCGGCTCTGCTCAGATCACACGCAGGGCGGTCCATCTGTTTTTCTCAAATGAGATTAAATCATGAGACTTAAAAATAAAGTCCCAGGGCTGGGGATTTAACTCGTCACAGAGCCTACCTCGAAAGTGCAAGGTCCTGAGTTCGATCCCCACTACCGAAAACAAAAAAAGTCTTGCTGAGGAGTTTTCTGTGGAGCCCCAGTTTGGGAGCTGCCTCTCTGACAGTGTCAGCCACATATACCTAGACACCCATGCCCTGCACATTTCAGCCGGCCCCAGAGCCTATCTGAGAATGACCGTGCTACCGAGAACAGAAAGTGGCAGCCACTCACTACACTGTAGCTTGTGCCATTTTTCTTTCCTTTCCTGGACCACCATACTTTCACTGACTTTGATTTTTCCTCTTTCTTCTTATCCCCTTTTTCCTTCTCATCTGTGCCTTAGGGTGTTTATTTTTTTAAAAAATGGGCTGGGGATTTAGCTCAGTGGTTCCGCCGCCTGCCTCGCAAGCGTAAGGACCTGAGTTTGATCCCCGGTACCAAAAAAAACCCCTCCCGACAGCATCTTCGTAGGCGCACTGGCGCCTCCCAGGATCCCACTTGTCCCGAGACTTCAGGTGGCACCCCATTGTCAGGCCTTCCTTATGACCTTTGAGGGAACCTGAGAGAGAGCTTCTGAGCCTCTCAAAATGATGTGCTTAGTACAATGTTAATTTCTGTTTAAAGCTTCGAGTTTTAGCAGTTGCACTTGTGACAGGGAGTAGGAGGTCCAGGATTTTCTTCTAGCCTCCTCAGTGCTTGAAAACAGAACAGGGATGGAAATCATTACATAGAATTTAGTAGGGGAATATAGATTTGGAGAGTTTGAAAAATATTTGAATCTCTGAAGTATATCCAAAATGATAAGAACCAATCTTAACAAATGTCTTCCTTGGGCCAGGGATTTAGCTTAGTGGTTTCGCCGCCTGCTGCGCAAGCGCAAGGACCCGAGTTCGTTCCCCGGTACCCAAAAAAAAAAAAAAGTTCCAAACAAATGTCTTCCTTTTTAGTACTCATCTAGTTCATGTCTGAATATGTGGGCTACAGGGTCTCGGGGTGTTGAATGCACTGCTTTACATACATGCTGTTTCCAGATTTGTTTTATACATAAGGCCAAAGTTACGAAAATAAAGGCTGTATGCAAAGCTGAGGTTGAGACAGGTGATGTAGGCCCATTATTTAGAATGGAGAGGAGAAGGCCGTTACACCCGTGCAGTCACTCACCTGATACTCCCTGAGCGCCGGGGAGTCCTGAACTGCTGAGTGTGGTGGTGAGCCACAGGCGGCCCCTGCCACGTAAAATGTGTATTTTAGAGTCCTGGTAAACAAGTGAATGATATTATAGGCAGTAAAGCACACTCTGGAGACAAGTGTGTAAGATGGCCACTCCGCTGAGTGGAAGGAGGAAGCTGAGCATCATCCCTGGTAGGACGGGCAGCTTGGGGTTCGGCCCCGTTGCTGCTTGCTGCACTAAGCCTGGTGCCAGTGACATGCCGGTGGTGAGTGACCAGACCTCCAACGCAGCTCTTGTCTTCTCCGCCTCACAGGTGTGGTTCCTCAGAGTGCGCCGCCAGTGCCGACCGCATCCTCCCGCTTCCACTTCCCACCGCTGGACACCCGCTCTCCCACCCGTGACATGCAGTCGGGCCGGTTCTCGGCCAGCTCCCTGACGGCGTCTGTCCAGGAGTCCAGCAACGGCACAGATAGGAAGGTGGAGCTTGCGGAGCTGGAGGACAGCTCCACTGCTGACTGGCGCCGAGGTGTTGACCTCGTGTCCTCCCGGAATGCAGTCGGAGGAGGAGGGATCGGCCACCAGAAACGCAAGCCTGACATAATGCTTCCTCTTTTCACGAGGCCAGGGATGTACCCTGACCCGCACAGTCCCTTTGCTGTCTCTCCGATCCCTAGCCGAGGAGGTGTCCTGAATGTCCCCATTTCACCGGCCCTGTCTCTGACTCCTACAGTCTTCTCCTACAGCCCTTCACCAGGCCTGAGCCCCTTCACCAGCAGCAGTTGCTTCTCCTTCAACCCAGAAGAAATGAAACACTACCTTCATTCTCAAGCCTGTTCGGTGTTCAACTACCATCTGAGTCCCCGGACTTTTCCCCGCTACCCAGGCCTCATGGTTCCGCCATTGCAATGCCAAATGCATCCTGAGGAGTCGACTCAGTTTTCTATCAAGCTGCAGCCTCCACCTGTTGGGCGCAAGAACCGGGAAAGGGTAGAGAACAGCGAGGAGCCTGCACCCACCATGGCACCAGTGCCACCACGAATTAAGGTAGAGCCCACCTCTGCCATCTCTGAGAAGGATCCTGAGAGCCTCAGGCAGTCAGCCCGAGAGAGGGAGGAGCGTTGCCAAGAAGAGGGTGCTGTGCTGAGCAGGACCACAGAAGAGGGGCAAGGCGCCATCTTTGCCCGCCCCACTGCCCCGCCCGCCTGGCCCTCTGTACCCACTAGCACCCCAAGTGAAGAACCCCTAGAGGTGACCGAAGTCAGTGAGGACAGGCCTGGCAAAGAGCCCAGTGTGCCTGAGAAGAAAGAAGATGCTCTGATGCCCCCCAAGCTTCGGTTGAAACGGCGCTGGAACGATGACCCTGAAGCCCGGGGGCCTCCAAGTAAGAACAGCAAGTTCCTCTGGAATGGATCGGGACCCCAGGGTCTGGCAGCAGCAGCCGCTGATGCATAGAACTACAAGTGTGTTGGGAGCTGTTTCTGTTCTCATGAAATACATCTGTGTATTTATGTGGCAGATCTGGTGGCGGGGGGAGGGAGTTAGGCGGTTTGAGCACCCTGGGACGTAGACTTGTACCTTATGTTGGGATGGGATAGGCATCTTCTGTTGTGAATTAGGTGGGATGTGAACACACCTTTCCTGGTGAATAGGAGACGAGGCGGGTATTGAACTGAAAGGGGAAGGAACCTGTTTCCTGTCTGAGGCTTACATTTCCCCACAAGGAAACTCCTAGAAGACCCAGGTACTCTGCTCCTGTGGTAGTTCAGGTTCCAGACTTTCTCTCTCTTTTTTGTATTTATATATAAAAAGCCATTAATGAGTTTGTTTTGCTCTGAGGGAGATTCCTAAAAGGGAAAAGGTCATGGTCGGGAGGTTAGCAGTGAGAGGCCATTAATACTAAGTATTTTGCCTGAAATGTTTCATTATAATTAATTATTTCGGGGAGGAATAAGATTGTGTCAGTCCTACTGGAGCAGAGGCCTGTTCAAATGTTGGTCTTTTTTCTTTTTTTACTTTTTCTTTCCTTTTGTTGTTTTTTGGCGTTTTTCTTTTCTTTAAAAAAAAAAAAAAAAAGTGAGTCAGGACACAAGACACAAGAGCATCCTGCTAATTAGAGTAGGTAGGAAGACAAGGAGCTGCACCCCAGGCTGCAGAGCCGAGGCAGGAAGCCTGCTGTGCATGCCTTGGACCTTTCACTTACTTCACCTACTAAGCCATGAGGAGTTATAAACTCCTGTTCAGGGAAGAAAGAAGAGGGCAGGAGGAAGCAACCCAATGCCTTTAAAAACATGAAAAAAAATGATCCTCATTTTTCCTTTTCCATTATGGGTTTGGGGAGCCAAACCAAAGTGTGACTGAGCAGGCTCATCCAGAGGCGCGACAGTGTTGTCGAAGATGTCTGTCCATCCTGTCTGGGTCTCTCCTCGTTTTCTAAAGTCGAGCCTTAACTATGAACATACTCAAAGATGATACGGGTCTGTCAGCGAAAACCTGTACGGGGCATGGACAGCTTCTCAGATAATCCCGGAGCGCTGAGACATGGTTAAACTCCTAGCCGACACTTAAGTCTTTGCCTCTTGATGTTACTGGGATAGGTAGCAGAAGGGCAGGATTGTGGGAGCTCCAGGTGGATGGAGCTGGGAAACATGGAAGGTACTGGGGGAGCAAGTGGATGTTTGCGGAGCCTGAAGGGGGGCTGGAAAGAAGACACGGAGGCACCAAGTGCCATGAGGCCTGGTGTGCGTGAAGGGGTGTCCTGCTGTGGGGTGCCAGTTTTGCCATCCCCATTGGCCCAGGTTGTTCCAGTCTCCTGAGCACTTGACTGTCTTGCATAAGACTCCAGTTTACAAACAGCGAGGAAGTGTTTCTTCATGGGAAAAACCCTTCTAGCAACTTCAAAGAAGTGGGAAAGTATTGATCTTATGTGAAGCAAAAGACTAGGACTAGGAGCAGAGAGAAGCAGCAGCCACCGCTCTTCTGTGTGTGTGCACAGCTGTGGAGTCACCTAGCTGCGGCTCAGCTCCGCCTAGCGGAGCAGCAGGGGAGAGAAGCAGCTGCACATCTGTTGAGGGCAAGGCAAGGCATGAGAGTGGTGTCTAGGGATTGGAGAGGCTCCTGCCTCCACCTTGGCGTAAGAGAACTCCATAAAGTAACGTCCGAGGGTTATCCTCCAGTGGTGGGGTAGGTTTTGGTTTTTGTTTTAACTGGAGTGCATGCATAAGAGAAGGGCTCAGGAAGGTGAGAACAGGTGAGAGAGACACTGGATGGCCTGGGATGACTTGAGTCCAGCATGCTATTTCTTGGCAGGTGTCCTCCCCTTGGCTTGATCCAAATTCCATGAGTGACTCATCTTTCCCCAGGAAAGGGACTGAGACAGTGGTCCGTAAAGACTTGGGCTCGGTCAGGCTGCCTTGGTGGTTGTGGTTCTTTCAAGCCCCGGCAGGTGGAGGAGGGCTGTGCTTGGCATTGCCTGATCTAACCAGGGAGGCCAGCTGGCCACCCACTGCCCCCAAGGGGAGGCCAGCAGGTGTCGGTATGAACTCAGGAACAGAAACACGAGGCCTTTAAAATAGGAAGAGAGAAATCCATGATGCGTACCTGTAACCCCCTAGAACACAAGTGCCAGAATAAATTCTTAGATGCTGCTTCTGTTTGAACAAAAAGTCACTGCTTTTACACTTGAAAAAACACTCAAAAATTGTTCAACTCCATGAAAAATTGTTTTTGACTTCAAGAAATTGTTTGGTATGTAACTGTTTCCTTTGATTGCCATTCCACCAGTAATGTTGGCTGATTTGCACTGCGCCTGGGGCTGGGGTTGGGAGGAGGGTCCTCACAGGGCCACGTGGGCCTGCTCGGGAGAGCCAGCCGTGTGGAGGTCCTGGATACTTCATGGGTCAGAGGAGAGTTTTCCTTCCCCCAGCCCTCTCCTGGTGCAGAACCAGGCCTGTCTCTTCCGTCCGACAGCAGGTGGAAAAAGGGGGTGAAAAGTGGACCTACTTTGTTTCCTCCATTTTTTTCTGAATTTTGCTGTGCCAAATGTTTAAAACTTTACAAATATAAAATCTATTGAAATTTCGTTAATCATGAACTTGTTTGTGTAAACAGTTTGTTTTCTTAGCTGTAGAAAACAGCAGAGATCTCTTAGTGGCATCCAGCCTTGCTGACCTCCCCTTTTTCCCTAAAGGGTGAGTAGGAGCGGAATACAAACAGTTCACCGAGCTCCTACACCCTGGTTCTCAGACTGTACTGCATTAACCCCGCTCACTACGACAGGGAAGGACTGCACCCCAGTGACCCGTGGGCCAAGACACCTTCAGAAGCATTAAAAGCACCACTTCTCACCAACTGGTGAGAGTCAGTTGGCTGTTGGTCCCTTGTTTATTTATTCCATAATTATGTTTCTGCTTTTTCTTTTGCAAGCTGTAATGGAACATAGTTTTATATGGTTGGGAAGAAAACTTTGATTCAGTCTTTAAAGAACTGTTCCATTTTTAAGTTTCTTCTTTGGGGGGAAAAGTTAGCAGTAATTTGTTTTTAAATATTTAGGCATTCTTTGAATTATAAAATTGTGATGCAGGGATATCCGAGTGAGACATTCACATGTGAAAGACGACTTTGCTAGTTATCCGCTTAAGCAGAGTAGTGTGTATATGTAAATAAAATGTAAGTAATCTTAACTCCATTGTGCAGTGCCTTTTAGATGTTCCGCTTTCTATAAAGTCTTCAAAATTTTGCATATATATTATATATATGATGTAATGTTATAGAAATATATGTATAATATACATATTTTTTTCCAGGGGTATCTGATAGCTCTGTATTTTGTTATGGAAGTTGAAAGAAAAAAGTATTTTACCTCAGAAATTAAAATTAAATAAAAAAGAAAAAAGTACTTTTACGTAATGTTTGCTGAGTGTTGGTTTTGTTCACCACACCCTGTGCCGCAGACCGTGCCTGGCCCTCTTGACAGCTCCCTCTCCATGCTGCTGCTTCCTGTCGTGCTTCCCACTGTCGTGAAAAGTAGGCCTCCAGCCCGGAGAGCATGGCTGCTACTACGGGGAAAGGAAATGAGCCAGGCATGCGAGTTAGTAGGAGGTTTCTGTCTCGGCGTTGTAAGGTCTCATCAAGAGTAGAGGGCAAAGCTGAGCATGAAAGACCACACACTGGTTCTTTTTATGTGAAAAGTCCAGAACTGGCGGGTCCTGCGGACCAAGCAGGTCGGTGTTGCCCGGGGGTGGGTTGGGGAGTGACTGCTAATGGATCAGCTTTGGGATTGACAGATGTGCTCTGGATTTAGGAATAATAGAGGTACAATTTGAATGTCACAGAAACCACTGGGTTTCAACAAAAGCACGAACATTATGGAACGTGAATTGTATCTCAGTAGAAACAAAGTTGAGGTTGAGATTTCTTGGTTTTGTTTCCCAGTACAGGACAAGAATCCAGAAGGAAGGAGGGGCCTCTCCCCACCCCCACAGTACTGGGGATTGAGCCCAGGGACTTTGCCCTGAGTTGCATCTCTAACCCCTTTTCATGTTTTATTTGAGGCAGGGTCTCAGTCACTAGTCGTTCAAGGTGGACCTGTGTTAGTTACTTTTCTCTCCTTGCTGAGACAAAATACCCAACAGTCAGAGTTAAAGGGAAAGTGACTTATTTGGCTCACAATTCGTAGAGGTTTCAGTCCATAATTGGCTGGCTCCAAGGTGGGGGTGGCAAACAGGCATCAGAGAGGAGAAACAGCATGGCAGGCCACAAGGCAGCGAAAAGCAACGAGACCTTAACAGCATCTTTTTGCTCCTATTCAGACTACTGGGATCAGGGCAGTGCCAAAGCAATCACTCAGGTGTAGTGCTTTAGTAATCACATGCCCTTAATCTCAGCACCACACACTATACTTCACCCACCTATGACTGCATGAGGCTTTAGGGGGACATCTAGACCCAAACCGTGACAGGACCTCAGCTTGCAGGGCCGCTGATGGGAATGTCAAAGGGTGTTGGTCGTCATGCAACACACTCAGAGCCTGGCAGTCATCTTCCTATGGGAGACCCCCACGTGATCTGAGTGTCCCAGCGTGCCCATGTTGTTCCAGAAGGGTGCAGTTGAGTGATGAAGAGGCGAATGTATTAAGGCTCTTGGAAACCTAAAGAATGTGCACTTTATTCTGCTAGCCTTGGCTGCCCCATGTCTTAAAGGGGCTGGGCCAGCCCAGTGAGGAGTGTGGACAGCCCGAGCCCTGTGAACCCATCCTGTCCAGTCCCCACCATGTGGGCGGGAGAAGCAAGGTGACAGGCAGACTGGTGGGCTGGTCAGGAGGAGGGGATGCGTGTGCATGAATCCCTCCTTCAGGGAGCCTCACTGCAGACCACCCAGGGGGAGGAGCTTGGACCTTGCTTTGAGATCAACATCCCAGGCAACAGGCTCTGCCAGACCAAGCCATACAGTCAGTGATTAGACTGAGAATTAAACATTCACATTCTGAGCAGAGAAGAAAGTGACATGGAAGTTAACTGGTTTGAGCAGGGTGAGGCCCAGCACTCTGCTACAACCCTGGCCTCCTGTCCCTCGATGGCTGAACAGCCCTTTCCTCTGCTTCTCTTGTCCAGTGGTAACTTTAGACTTCAACCGGGACGTCTGCTCCAGGACAGCACGGGGCTCTTATCCGTGTCCCACTGCAGCCCTGTTTGCCTCTCAGCCTTGTCCACACCATGCTGCCACCGCTCCCTAGTCTGACTTCTCAGAGGACAGACATGAAGCCCAGGGCCAGCGTGGGGTTCACTCCATCCCCCTTTCTCCAGTGCCTGGAATATTGACTGGAGCCTACAGACGCTTGATCAGTGTTTCTCGAAATAAATAGCAGGAAACGTGAAGGGCATTTGGCCACTGAAATGAAAGATGCACGAGGAGAGAATGACCCTGCACGTGCAGTGTCTGCTCCAGCTTCCAGTCCCTGTCCAGCACAACCTTCTCCCACATGCAGGCCACCCTGCAGTCAGCCCTTTCTCCCCTGCAGCCTTCTCCCCTCTTTCTGCAACTGTGCTCGCTCCCTCCTGCAAAGCTCCCTCCCCTCCGGGGACTACAGGACATGTCCACAGTTTTCATTTACTCAAATATGATGTGGGCAAGAAAATAGGAACTGAAGCCATGGAGAACCTGCCTCTGAGGCTGTTTCTGCCTCTAGTTCTAAACAGCGCCACTGGGGATGTTCCCTTCTTGCACAACCTTTCTAGGATTCAGACTCATTAGTCCCCCTTGTCCTGCAAAAAGTAAAGTGAGCAGGAGCCCAACAGGAAGCCCAGCCCTGGCCCTCTCCAGCTGGTGGGGGGAGAGAGAGACACCTAGATGGGGCTCTGGTCTGCGGTCCCACCCTGCCACTCTGCTGGCTGTGAAGCAGTGGGCAGTTACAGAACCCGTGTGCTTCAGCTTCCCTCGGTACAGGGGTGTGAGGACTCCGTGATGCATGTGAAGCACTTTGTGACACAGTCATTCCTAGTGACTCAAACGCCTGGGAAGCACCCTGTCTCGATGACTGTCCTCAGAGGCCTTGTGTCTTCACATCCACTTCTCCCCTCTGGCTCAGGGGAGGTAGATACTGTGGAGAAAAGTGAAGCCCAGAGTGGATGAGAGTTGAGGGGCCTGAATTTCTCCCCCACAGCACCCAAGAATCAGATTTTGAACGAGAGCTGCGGGAGGCCAGCCCTGAGTCTGGCTCCAGGCCTCAGGTCCCAGGTCTCAGTCGGAAGTGTTGAGACCTTGACAAGAGCCAGAGGGGGAGGGGAGTCCGGCAGGCTCCAGGGGCTGCGCCTCAGGGCAGAAAGAGGCAGATCAAAGCATTTCCAGAAAGCAGAGGAGCCCAAGTCCCAGACTGCCAATCCCAGACTGATGGGGGCTGAAGGGAAGAGAGGAGCCCCACCCCACCGGCTCCAGCAGCTCCGTGATCTGGGGACCTGATTAGGCAGACAATGGGGAGTGAGCCGTGGATCCCAGGGATGCAACCCCATCCTTGGGAAGCGAAGGTTTGGGGCCGAGTAGCAGCAGCAGGCCTCCTCCCATCTCAGTCCTGGGTCCCAGAGAGTGCGGGCAGTGAGGCTGGAAACTGTGGCCTCTGACCTGGAGTCCTTCGGGGCCTCATGTGAGTGGGGAGGATGGAGACTCCTGTCTGCAGGGACAGAGGTCAGCCTTGCACAGGTTCACCCACAGGGGAGGGACGCTCTGTTCCAGTGTGTCCTTAAGACAGTTTGCTGTTTTCTTCCCAGGATTCCTCAGAGAGAAACATAAACGAGGAGGGGGGGAGGGTTTCATAATCTGGGAGTGCTTGAGATTGGAATGTCTTTTTGTATCAGTTTTGTCTCTTTAGTAGCCAACTCTGTAAGAAAGGGAAGGGGAAACTGAGGTACACAGGTATAGGCTATGGTTCTACCTGCAGAACAGGGCAGATCTAGGTTTGTTTTCGTTGCCCCATTCATTCGTGGCCTGGCTGAAAGAAATCTTGACCTTCTTCTCTGCTGACCCACCCCTTCTACTCCTGGGTCGAAAATGAACATTTCTGTGTTCTTCTCACCTAACTTTCATTGGTTTCCTGGATCCACAGTTACCTTCTCCAGAAGATGCTATTATTGTCCTCATGTTGCAGATGGAGGTTGACAGAGATGGATTTGCCCAAGGCTGACACCTGGAGCTGCCCA